AGCGACGAGTGGGTCGTCAGTGCGAGGGTGATATGGAGGAGGAGACAAGAGATTACAAGCAGTAATCGTGAACCCAGCCGGCTGAAGGCGACAGCAGAAAGTGGAGATATGTTGTTGAAGCCCTCCCTATATTCCACTCGGAACCCAAGGGAATAATAATGATAATAACATGTTTTACGAGTTGATCACGGACTGATATCAGTTAAAGAACGATTGAAAACCAGGGAGTACTGGACAGCTGCTGCTTCATCCTAGTATGGGAATCATCGGCAGTAAGCACCCACTGGGATTCGAACCCAGGACCTTCCGGTTACAAGGCAAGCTGGCTCGTATACCATTCAGCCACTGGGACCCAATTCAATGGCCAACCCATGAATTCTAACTTCTACCAATTCGTGATTTTAGCGCGACCTCAACTATTGTCGTTGGTGGGACATCCATCCACACACGTGACATCTAATTGGACCTCACTGGTCACGACTTCTCACTAGAACTCAAGGAAACTCCATCCTGTAGCAAGTCACTAGCGAGCATCATGTAAATAAATCTGACGATACATTACAATGTTGTGAGTGAATTTGAATTTTTTTATCGATTTTTGCCTTTAGTTCAGACAGACTACCTACCTACATGTGTCTTCAGTACGCGTGCACACACACACTCACACGTGTATGTATATATCGGCATGATTGTGGATAGACAGACAGACAGACAATTCCAAAAAATAGTTCAATAGACATCTAAATTATTCATTTAAATGAAGCAGAGAATCTCACGCACACACACAGACACACACACACGTCTGTGTCTGCATGTGCGTGTGTGTGTTCTATCCGAAATGTAGACAACAAAGTCTAATCAAAATTTTACTAATAGAATGAATAGTCAGCATAAACATGATGATAGAGATAGAACGACTACGAATTCATGAGAAATTAATAACACAGTTATTACTAATTCTACTGTCTCTACATTGTAGATTCATTCTCACAGAATTTTGTTGAGAACTTAAACCCCTTTAAAAAGCGTAAAATAAATAATCAAGTGGTTTTCACTCGACGAATTTTGTTTGTTGTAAAATAAATTATCTGTTGAACATTTAAAATTTAATGTGCAAAAATTTATTTATTTGTGAGATAATAGATTATAGGCCAGATAGTAATGAATCATTCGTCTAAACTGTTTACTTCAATTATTGTTGGGCTAATTTAATTTTTATCTAATACAATGAATCATATTCATTATAATAAAGGTTTTCTTGTATTTCCCAGTGAATGAAAAATAAAACGATATTGTTTGGCTGACTGACGTTTCGCTATTTAATGCTGCTGCTAATAGCTTTATCAAAGTAGTGATATTAAACCAGAATTTGCAAAATCTCAGCTTATATGTATAACAGAGTTAAGAGATGAGAAAATAGACTTAGATCAAGTTAAAGGGGGACATATTGAAAGTCAAAATAACAATGAAGATCACTAAACCAAATAACAAGGGTAATATTTATAAAATTATATTTGTAAAATCTCAACGAAACTGAAATGGTTAATTCCAACGTTTCATTCGGCAATCTGGTCCGAACTTCAGGGAAATTAATCGAAATTAACATAACAGAGGTTTAAAAATAAAAGGAACAACTCTTGTTCTTAAACTTTGTCTAATCATGAATCATGCAACATGTTAATTTCGATTAATTTCCCTGGAGAAGTTGGGACGAGATTGCCGAACGAAACGTTGGAATTACTCATTTCAATCTCGCTGAGATTTTACAAATATAATTTTTTACAAATAGGAACTCAGGGTTAAGTTCCTTGACACCTACCTTTTTGGACTTGTAGAGGATAGATACAATATTCTTCTTATTTAATTGGTTATTTTTTCTGCAAATCTGTACTGTTCGGTACGCTCATGGCTTTTAAGATTAAGGTTTGGGGTTAAAGTTAAGATTAGGAGTTAGAAGGAGGTTAAAGAATAGTGTATCAGAAATATCAATGGATCTCAAAGTACTATGAGCTGCAGTCACCTGGATGAATAGGTATATCGCATATGCTGCGATTTCTCCGTATATCATGTGTGTATTGATTGGGAAACATACTTACAACACATAAACTACAACTATACAGTGTTATATCATTTGTAATTAATAGTGTTCTCTGAGCTGGTTGGTTTGGTTGCGGAGCTTTCGTCGTCCTCCTGGACAACATCTTCAGCGCAATATTTAGCATAAAGTGAAATGATTTAAATTTCTTCATGAGTGATAGAATTGCGTCTCCCGGTAACCATCTTTACATATGTATTGACCATTTTCTATTGACTTGGATTTTAAACTTTTTGGTCACATGATTTACTTTTATTAGTTGGTATATATTTCGTCTATATTAACGTGTTTGTTAATTGCATTTTCGTTTGAGTACCAGGCTTCTAGGAATTCCCTAACTGCACTTTTGGTGTTTCCTCTGTCTAAGATTTTGACATTATCCCAATCAAATTGATGTCCATAATTGTCTATATGCATTGATACTAAAGAATATATATAGTGTCTTTCCATGGCTGATTTGTGATCTTGGATTCTAATTCGAAGGGGACGCCCACTTTGGCCGATGTGATGTCTGTTACAGTTCATACAATTTATTTTGTAAATGGTATTAATTTTATCTCCTTTTTCTGTTGGATCTTTCGGTTTGCATAATATCGAATTAAGCGATTTGACTGGCTTGTGTGCTATATCTATATCAAACGGTTTCAGTATTCTAGCTGTTATTTCAGAGATATTTCTCATGTATGGTAGGATGAATTTTCCTGTGATCTTTGATGATGGTTTATTGTTGGTGTTGTGATTCGACTTAAAACAGTTTTTGATGAAATTGTGAGGGGGATAACCATTCTTTTTGAAGACCGTTTGTAGGTATTTTTCTTCCAATTTTTTCAACTCTGGAGTGCTACAATGTGTTTGAACTCTTTGAAACAATGTCTGCACACAGTTTCGTTTGTGAGTAATTGGATTATTGCTAGTAAAGTTGAGTATTTGATCTGTGTGCATTGATTTTCTATATACTTGTGTTTCTAAATTTCCTGTGTTTGTTCTCCTGATTAAGACATCTTAAAATGGGATTTTGTTATCTAATTCTTCTCCCGTGGTGAATTTGATGTCTTCAAATGTGTTGTTTATTAATTTATGGGTATATTCTAAATCATTTCTCTTAATTATTACAAATGTATCATCAGCGTAACATACCCAGATTTTCGATTTAATTATAGGTAGAGCTATTAATTCTAATCTTTGCATGACGGACGGCTTCAGCTATTAATCCTGATTTGGGCGATCCCATTGGTGTTATATCATTTTTGCAATATTTTTTAGTGTATTTTTCAACGATTATGCAACTTTTTTGCATCTGGTTGGTTGTTCAAAGTCACTGTGGTTTTGGCTATGCTAGTTTAACCTTGCAGTAATTTGAGTATCCATTTTTTATTCCGTGTGATATGAGATATCTTTCTGCCAGTAGTCATTGCGGCACTCCCATCTTAAGAAAAATTGAAGAAAGATATCTCATGGACGTTTTTCAAAAGAATGGCTATCCATGGAATTTCATCAAAAGACATATACCTTCAAGCTAACCTATCAAACCAAAAGCCCTCAAGGAAAGCACAAAGAAAATCGTCCTACCATATATAAAGGATTTCTCAGAAATCACTGCAAGACTCTTCAAACCTATAGGAATTGATGTCGCACACAAACCAACAAAATCACTTCACTCAGTTCTATGTCAACCAAAAGACTCAACAGCGAAAGAAGACAAAACCAACATCATGTACAAAATAAATTGTAACAACTGTGAAAAAGCAGTACATTGGCCAAAGTGGATGTTTCCTTCGTCTTCGTATCCACGAAAACAAGCTAGCCGTCAAAAGACATGATATCCACTCCCTCATATCACTCACTACATACAGACAACCACGAACATCAATTCGATTGGGACAACGTTCAAATATTAGACAGAGGAAACAACAAGAATGCTGGAGAATTTTTAGAAGCCTTCCTGGTATGACAGTGAATCATCAATCAATAGATACATAGAGATAGACAACATTTAACAATCGATAAGAAGGAAATCTCACACAATGGGTCAAAGTTCAAGTCAAAGAAACAATCAGTTCCAATACAAATAGCCTGAAGGATGTGAAAACACACAAAAACAACCAACCATGTCCAAGGTCACCCACCAGGAGAGATGATTAATTAACTCGTGGAGAAATCTAAAAGCCCACTTCAATTCAAATTGAAGTATGCGCTGAAGATGCTGCCTAGTGGTGGGGTGATGAAGGCTTCGCAAATTAACTTTCCAGCTCAGAGAACACAGCCACATCAAATGTCGTCTTCAGTTACCTTGGTGAATACATGTACGGAAACTGGTCTAACGTAAATACTGATACTCCTCAATACATAATTGGGATGCATGTTCAAGTCAAAGACCTGGGTTCGAACCCCAGTTGTGTGTGTACTGATGAACAGTCCCAAACTAGACTGACGAGACAGTTGTACAGTACTCCCTGTCGGCTTTCTAGTGGTCCTCTAACCAATGTCAGTTTTTAATGAAATCATGTAACGAATTAATCAAATCCATGCAAATCGACACTGAATAATAGTAATAATACTTTACAACTTGAAAATGAAGTCGTTGAACAATTGAACTGTGTTTTGCTTTATTAAAACAAAAGTTTATTCAATTATAATTTTACATTACAAAATTTGTTTTTGTATATAGTTTAACATGAAATACATGAAATGATACACCACAGACACCCTTGAATATATATTTTGTCAACTTATGCATTATATTAAAAAAAAACAAAAATCAACAGGTTAGGAAATAACCGCCATATAAGAGAAAATAATTCAAATTTAAAAAAAGCGCCTCCGAAAAAATTAAAAGAAAACAGCATGGAATAAAAAAATTTGAGTGTTTAGCAGAGTAAGACAAAAAAAAAGAAAACAGGTGTAATTACATTCCTTGTGCATGTAAATAATCTCTCATTTCAAGTAATAATTGTTTTGACTCTTTTTTTCTATGCTCAGCAGTATAAATGCCAATAAGTATTGAATTCTTTGTCAGCAGGCCAGCTAACTCATACTTATCAACAGTACTACTATGCTGTTCATTTGCATTTGGTATGGTGTAATACTGGATTACATCGGCTACCAGTACGCCTGTATCATCTTCCACATCTTTGTACAAGCATTTATCCATACCGATTTCAAAGTGTTTATCCAGAATAACACGATCTGCACGTTCAGCCTGATTGATCCATTCAGCAGTCGGCGGCGCCAATGATAATATCCAGGTTAAAAATTTATAGAAAAAATGAAATAAAATAGAACAAGAAGACAGTTTATCTGGAATAAATTATGCAAATGTTCTAATAAATTATTTCTGTCATCACTGGTGAGTATCTCTTGTCACAACCGACATGCTGTACCTCACTGGTCAATCACGGCTTCACACTAGAACCGAGGTAACTACCTACCTGATGACATCGACTAGTGGTCGCGCTACATCATGAATTGGCAAGATTTGGAATTTATGCAGAGAGAGGTCCTGAGTTCGAACCTCAGTGGATGCGTACTGATGAAGACTCCCGAACTAGGAACAGCTGTCCACTACTCTCTGATGGTGTTTCAATGGTTCTCTAACTGATGTCAGCTCATGATGAAATTCTGTAACCAATCATATCAAATCCTTGCAAAGCTATACTTGAATAAATTACATCGCTCTGCTTCTTTGCTAACGGAAACTGCTGTGCCTGAAGATGCTGCTGTACTCTCTCTCTCTCTCCATTTCTTTTCTCCTACTTTTTGTATGACCGTCCGTATTCTTCCATGGGTAATTTTATAAATAAATATGCTGATGATCTGACCATCTCTGTTCCAGTAGTTTCTGCATTGGATTGTTCTTATATGAGCAGATTCTTATATAGTCTTATATATATATATATATTCTTAGATATATTTAACCGGAGGCTCCTTGGTGAATTTGGACCGAATTGTTCAATCTCTTCAATCGCCAAACACCTGATTGACACAGGACACCGAGTAGATTTGCTGGAATCATTCAAAATAATAAACAGACAAAGTAGTACCTCAAGTCTTCTCAGGTTTGCTGAAGCTATATCAATAAAACGATTGAAACCTGACTTATGTGTCTAAAAAGAATCCGTTGTTGGACTGCAATTACCCTGGTGACTCACACCTTAGTAACTCTTTGTTTTCTAATTTTGTTAACTTAATTTTTCACTCCCCCCTTTATTTTTCGCTTGATTCTCTTGAGAGATAATTTTTCTTGATCTTCTGAGTTCTGCTCACTGTATTACGTCATCAACTTTTCATCTGACCTCATGTGCACCGAAATTTAAAATTTTTTTGATTTTCTCTTATCTGATTACGTAACTATCACTAATTTTCTTTTGTTACTACCTCAACAACACAACTGTTAGTTAATTTTTTCAAGAAACTTCTCTCTAACAAGAAATATATATACGTCGTAACACTTTGGACAGCTTGTAAATCGCAACGCCTTATTTTGCTACGATGCCCTGACAATATGCTTGCTAATGGACAAAAGTTTGTTAAAACTGTACATTTTTATTTTATGAAAGAATTCAGGTTGTACGCAGCTGATGAGAACCAACCAGATTATTCTGCACCAACCAATGTTTCTTCTTTCTTTGTTCAAATTTATAAAAGGGAATGATTGTATGAAATTTTTATCCTTTGACATATTACATAAAGAAGTTGAGAATTTCTGCTGGCATAACTCAACGTATTCTCTAAAGTCTTGTTAATTCATGTATCCGGCCGATTCTTTATTCTTTACTGTTCGCCCTTATTCTACCCTGAACTTCTCAAAAAAGGATTATTTCATATTTCGTAGAACACTGAATACTGTAAATAGGGTTGGCGGTGTGCCTTTGACTCAGCTAACAGAAATTATTGTCAACAGGCACTTCAGCTCTTGCAAGTGAATGGCTACAGTTATCTTGTCTGATATCGAACATCCTCTCGACTTATTCGCAACTTTTACCTTGTGTCTCTTCAGGTAAAATCAGAAGGAATTTCATAAGAATTTACTGTCGTACAAATAAATAAAAATATTCCACCACACCACCATATTTAGCACGGGTTTTTGTGTGAAGAGAGAGGGAGATGTCAGAAAAGAACTTATAAACTTTTTAAAATCAGTAACTGAAATGCAAAGAATAAGCAAAGATTATTATTTTTATTACTTGTATTATTTATCATATCGTTTATTTATTATTCATTATGTTCCATTAATTTTCAGTTCTTGTGGCTTAATTATTTTTACGATTCGATGTATTTATATGTTTGTAAAAGGAGCTAAATTGTTACAATGTGTGTGAAAACTGAAAATTCTAATCTGTATAATTATTATTGTTTGGAATAAAGTGATTATTATTATTATTATTATTGGTATTATTATCGATGAGAATGATTACGCGAGATACATTGTGATGTGATAATGCGTCTATGGTAACCTTCAACAAATGCCTTCCTATCCTCACCAAAACTAAACGCACTTACTCTGTGTGATCAAACAACAGAGAGCGAAAACAGAAAGACAATTCGATCGCTTGAAAAACGGAATATATTTCATGCTATTACTACTACTACTACTATTAGTATTTTTTCTCTCTGAAGTTTTGAATAGAACTAAGGGTTTCGTCAGTATATCTTCATTTCACTCTGTTGTCTGGTGTCTTTTATAGCTGGCTCCATGATTGTTTACAAAGTTTCAGCTCCTGTTTCCATGATCTCCTGCTTGTCACACTTGCAGGCCCAACTCACTCCTCATTGCCTACTCGGCGTCCACTGGATGGTATGTCTGGTGTTTGATGCAACTTAATGGTTTCCGCAGCGTGCGTTCAAAGCATCCCCATTTTCTTTTTGCTTATTTGTTGGATAATAGTAAGTTGGATGGTTTGCCACCTGCCAGAATTCCTTCTCCCTTATCCTTTATGGCCAGCTATCTGATCTTCAAAATGAAGCAAAGGGGTAGCTATTGATGGAAGTATGCAGTAGCCAGTTGGAAACGTTTCTGGTGACGCGCTTGACAAGTCTCTGAAGTATATAGTAACACTGACTGAGTGGCTTGACATTAGTGTTAAAAATGTGGATCTTGTTCGTTGTATGGAGTGTAAAATATTTCCGCACTGATTTATTGAGCTCATGCCTTACTTTTCAGATCCTCCACAACAGTCATCCCATCCACGTTAAATGTGTTTTTTCTATGTGACTAGAAAACAGATCAACAATTTGACTGGTAAAAATATGGAATATATATTTCGGGATCAGTAATGTGGGAAGTATTGTCATTATTATCATTATTCGTCTCTTGGTTTCTTATTAAAAAATACAGTTTCTGTGGCATACCTGTATTCCACTCAAATCTCTACAATAACTTCCATCTGCCTCTAAAACAGTATAAAGGCTTTCATTTTCTTTCCACACGATCTCCACCATGTGAAACTTGAATGATCAACTAGTTATTTTTCATTCGGTATATATTCGAGGGTATATCCGGAGTGTGATGCCACTCAGTGGTCTCTTAGGTGTATGTTCAAACCATCTACATTTCCTTTTGAAGATCTGTTAGACTATACGTTCTTGGATGATTCATTTACAGAGTTCTTCATCAACATTCCGGTGTTAATATTTTGATTTAATTGAATTTAATTGGATACTCTATTATCGTTATTATTATAAAACCGGTTCCCTTTATTTGTTTGAACGAAGAAAGACCGAATATTGGTTACAGGATTTCATCATGAGCTGACATCAGTTAGAGAACCATTGGAAAACTAGGGAGTAGTAGACAGCCGTTTCGTCTTGGTATGGGACTATTCATCAGCACGCACCCACCGCTAGAGTTCGAACCCACAACCTTCTGGTTACAAGGCGAGCTAGCTCGTAGACCATTAAGCCACTGGAATCCGATCCAATGGCCAGTCTATAAATTCTAACTTAGTTGAAGGTGAGTCAGTAACTCATTGAAGAAGACATTAGGAAGTGGTTCCGCTGTATCGTGAATTGGTAGAAGTTAGTATTCATGGACATGCCATTGGATCAGGTCCCAGTGGCTTAGTGGTCTACGAGCTCGCTAGCCTTGTAACCAGAAGGTCGTGGGTTCGAACCATGGCAGTGGATGCGCACTGCTGGAGAGTCCCAAACTAGACTGACGAAACAGCTGGCTGTCCAGTACTTCCTGTTGGTTTTCCAATGGTTCTATAATCGATATCAGCTCCTGATAAAATCCTACAACCAATCAAACAAAATCCCTACAAAACCAATACTTGTAAGAAGGAATATATTTCTAGAATAATACAACCTCGTTTTACTTCGTTGATTCGCTTCAAATGTGCCTCCATCCTAAAAAAATATCGAAATATAAGTTAGACAATTTTTGAACACACTTTTCTTACAGTGACTTCGAGTTATTGATTGATAGAAAGTAGATTCATCTTATTATTCATTTATTGCTTTGCATTCCCAGTGGAACACAGGGCTTCAAGCTAGAGGTTTGAAGTTTCCTGGCCAACCTTCCCTCTTTGTCGGGCATACAACCGACTAAGGGAGGCAAATTTGTTCGCCGGTCGGGAATCGAACCCTGGACAACAAGCATGGCTGACAATCATTATACCACTGAACCATCGACGCACGATAGAAAATATAGTCAACATATTTCTAATAATGATGTCAGTAGACAAATTATTAAGTCATCTATAAAACACAAAATAATTGAGCAAAGAATATTCTTTTCGATAATTTCCTCTTCTGGCTCTACAATTATATATATGTTTATATACACAGAATATTCTAGATTAGTAGTTAATAACGATATTAGTGTGCTTTTTAAATAATATCGATTTGTAAAGTATGATCACAATGGAATTACAGTTCATTAAAGATGCTTAAATTATAATAATAATAATAAAGATATAGTAGCAAATAGAATATCAACTAAAATTAGGGAAATTTCCACAAAAATTCCGGATTATTCAAACCTAGATGGCCAAGGTAATGATAATGTCTGAACTAACTTCTTTTGGATGCATAAATTAAGCTTATTAATATGGATCCCTACAGCCTCACCAATATTTAGTAGTCGAACTTTTAAGTCAAAATTGAGATTCGTATGTATGCGGTAAATGACCCTGCTAAAAGCCTGGTTAACGTTTATCTTGTGTTCTGTATCCACAAGATGAGATAGAATAGCGCCACGAA